ACGTTTAAGTTTTGAGAGAGCTCATAAAAGATTTGGATGTTTTTATTTTTATAATCTATCGCGCTTTAATTCTCGCAAAGAGTTTTGTCATGAAGGCTACCATCAAGGCTAACCCCAACACAAGTTTGCTTCCGGTAATGAAAAAATCCAGAAATAACATGCGCGTAGGACTTTTTCCGATCTTGGCTGTTCAATACAGCGTGAGACTAGAACACAAACGTTCGTTTATCAAATGGAAAATAGTTTACCCCATGAAATTGCAAGACTCGGTAGAGGGTGAAAATGAAACGCAAGGCTCGTTTATCATACATTTACCACCCAACCAGGCAAGGGCTTTTTTTAACATTTTGTCAACAATTGACAGTGAAGGGGAGGGACGAGTCAGTGTTGCTCGTAACCAGTCTTTTGGAACGGCATTACAGCAAATATGGCGGTCGCTCGGCGGTTCGCAAGAGCTATTGTATTCCAAAACAGCAAAAGATGTAAGTGCGTCCCTATTCTTAAATTGTGGTGCACAAATCCATGTAGAAATTTTGTTGCCCGGTTTGTAATTACCTGATGAGTTTTTCATAAGCTGTACTACATGTTACATTGAAGACACCTTGTATTCATGTCAACTTTTCACCATTAATTACTTTGCTAATCTTAGATCGTTGTCACAATTAGGCACCCTCACAAACTTGCGATTTTTTGGAAGAAAAAGAAGGCAAAATACAGCACAAAGGTAATTAATGAAGACGTTGTTTTTGCTTTTTTTCGTCAGTTTATTCATAGGTTAACTTTATCATAATCTCCTCCACTTTTAAGTTGAGGTAAGAAAAAAGTCGTGTAAATTACTCCTTGTGCTTTCAGCCTATAGCTTGGTTTGGAAGTGCAAATAATAGTTTCCATGGTGACCACGTTTGGCCCGAGCCAGATCCAGTGGAAAGTACGCTGACCATCTCTAGGGTGAGTTTAACCCTGTGACCCCTGAGAGGGACTAGCACATATTAAGGTCATGAGAATAAAGGAAATGATCACCAACTAAAGAAGCTCTCAATTGTTATACAAATTCTCCTTGTCAGCACTTTAGTTAATGTATAGAGAACAGTATGGAGAACATGCATATTGATGTTAGGGTATAAAGTGTTAACAAAGAAGAAATGCAATTGAAAGAAAGCAAAATAACACATTATGTTGTTGTAGCCAAAAGTTTCATTATTTAGCCTTTTAATTAAGTATTGCCTGCTTAGATTTAAGTGCAGTTGAGCCTGTGTTAAACCGTCACCCCTGGGGCGTGACAAGATAACCACTTTATAGATGTTGGTTGACTGCTTAACCCTTTAACTCCCAGATCAAATCTGTAATTCTCTTTACTGTCAACCACACAGTTCTTATAATGTTAGTTCAGAGAATTTAGTATTGAACCAACTAATTATCCCCTTGCTGATATTTTTCTTTATTCTCGTCACTTGCCTGCATGATATTGTATTGATATTGTGAGGAGAAATTCTGTCTTGGTCACTCATGGGAGTTAAAGGGTTCATACAGGTTGACCAACAAATAATGTGTGTGATGTTCATGTATAATGTTTGACTTAAAAGTCTAAAGAAGAAACATGATCTGCAATGAGTCGAGGACCTTTGAACTCAAAGTACTTACATTTACATGGATAAAAATTTAGTTGCATTATTTAATAGATTATTTTTAGTTTTATTTGAGTGGATCAGCTTTGAGTGATCCTTCAATACAGGTTGAAGACAGTAGAAACAAACTGTTGAGATAACGTAAAGGGTGACTTGCATGACCATCTAATAGAGGTGATCACCTGGTAGAGGTGAAATTTACAGCATTTAAGGGAAAAACATTTTGGGACTTTGACATTACTGACTGCCTAATAAATGTTTAATACAGTGAAGCTTAATACAGGTTTAACTGTAGACTCCATTCAACAGCCTAATGTGCTCTTACTTGGCTGTCTTATTACAACTATACACAGTCAGGTGAAATCTTTATCTTCACGAGTCAAGTCAATTTTTTCAATAAAACTTGTCTTGTATTTCTAGAACTCTGAGGACAACATGACAGAATATGAAGAAAAAAATTGGAATATATTGGTGTATAATGTAAGCATGCACTTTGCACTTTTCTTGATTAGAGGGTCTTCTTAATTCTTCGTTAACTCTACATAGTTTGTTAAAAATTGAAAATGTATAATTTCACTTATTAATTTTTGAAAATGTTAGGTGTCTGCAAGTGGACGACACAAGCTTCTGGCAACTGGCTGCATTGATATAAGTGATTATGTTAGTAAGAAGCTCAGGAAATTTGATGTGACGGTTACCCTTAAGCCAGCAATAAAAAATGTCCTCTCTGGAAAAATTGAATTTGAATTATCCTCTGTTATCCGAGAAGACTGTCCCCCTGGGTAGGTATTTTTCAATCACTGCAGTTTTTAATAAGTAAATAATTCTAAATTTAATATACTTCCTCCAATATAGCATTCAAAGGTCATGCAAAACCCTTGAAATTTTAATTTTGTGGAGGGAGGATCCTGAAAATTTTCACAGGGTTTCAAACTGTGAGAGAATATGGAAAATATTTTGCACCAAATTGCTTCTGAGTTAGTTTGTACACACTCCCCCTTAACCTTCATGCATTTACCTATCACCCACTGTTGAGTAGTAATTAATGTGACCATATTGATACAAGAATTTCTGTGTCATACCACATGGGATGGGGAGGGATTCTGAGAGGTTTTTTGTATTAGACAAGTAATGCAAAACCCTCAAGTCTTGGGGGGAGGGGGGGGGGGGGGGGGGGGGTTCTGATCAGGACCCCAGACCCTCCCTCTGGATATACCATGGAGTATTATCAGTCAAAGGATGACAGCATTTTTCTGTGATATACCCTTCATTCAGTCCTATTCTATTATTTAAAAGAATCAATTAGTTAGTGTTGAGTCTTCTGGTCTCTTTGAGTTCCTACTTGTTGCTGTTATGTCCACCACAATGGAAAGACAGATCTGATATATGTGTTATCACTGATTATAGTTCAGTCTGTAATGGTTTCCTATCATTTATTCACTTAAAGTGTCAATTATTTTTGTGTTTTATAAAATTGTGAATAAGTTCATTGACTTAACCCCTATGAATTTGAATTTGAAACAAAGAATGAACTTGAATTCATAAAATGATGGTTTTTTTTGGTGCAGAGGCTCAGATGAAGAGATATGGGATGAAATAATGCAGTCTGCCAGTGAGGAAATGATAAGAAAGAAATCAGCTAGGAAAGCACAGAACCTCAAATCCACGAAGGTTGCTGCCAATAGCAATGGTACCAGTTCAAGGGCTACAGACACCACTGCAAAGGAAGCCAGAAAAAATGAAGCACAAGCTGCAAGTCCCTATCAGTGCAATGAACCTGAGGTGGATTCCAATGATAGAAGCAAAGTTAGACTGGCTGAAAAAGCAAACAGGGGGTCGCTACTATTCTGTGCCCCAACTTTCTCCCCTCCCCCAAAGCCATGCCCACTTGCAAGGCAGGGGCCACCACAATGCAGCCAGGAAACAACATTTGCCCTCTGTGAAAAGCAACTTGAATTAGGCTCTTTGTCTGCATTGTCAACTCAAACTGTGTGCAAGAAAACTTTTGTTCAAGATTTTGAAGCTCCTTCAAATGAGGTGTACAGCTGCACCAAAAAGGAAAGCCTTGCAGACTCAGAGAATCCTGACATTATAGGCTCTACTGTTCCTGTGAAGCCAATCCTCAAATGTGAAAATTCCAGTAAGTTATACAGTTTGAGTTCAATTGCCAATCAGCTTGTTACCCAAGAGGGCCAGGGTCTCATACTTTCTGTTGTCTTTAATATTTCATTTTGTTTAATTAAGCAATTTTATCTTATTAAAGAAAAATGAGAGACCACGTCAAAAATGGGAGAACATAACTGTAGTTCAATTAGAAAAATGTACAGATATGTTAATTTGGAGCTCCAGATTACTTTGTGTGTTAATAAGAATTTTTACCCAAACACAATTCTTTTAGCTATCATCATATTTAGTTCATAAATTATGCAACTAATAATTTATTGCTTAAATTAAATTTCTTTGCATATATTACAGTTATAGACATTCCAGCTATTTAACCTCATCTCTTCACTTGCCATGCTCACAGATTCAGCCAGTTATATTGAAGAAGAATTGAATCTAGTTCAAGCTGAACTATCATCTTTGAAGGAAGTCTGTTCCAAAATAGAGCGTGAGTTGCAGGAAGTCGAGTCAGTAGAAGGTTTGTAATCTCTTGATTACAGCTGACCCATTGCATAACTGTAAGAGCTGTAAAATGAATTACCTTTGAATTTCACTCTCCAATACCTCAACATATTGAGCCCTTTCATTCTTGAATTTGTTAAAGGAAGAATCATCATATTTAGTTTTTACTACTGAAATATTGTTTTTTTCTGTTTTCTTTTTTCTTTGTAACTTCACATTTTAATATTCATGTATGGTAGAAGAGCCCCCAAGGGGGAGCTATGCAATAAAGTATGTATGTATGTATGTATGTATGTATGCATGCATGCATGCATGCATGCATGCATGTATGTATGTATGCATGCATGTATGTATGTATGTATGTATGTATGTATGTATGTATGTGATGTGTCTCCTATCTCTGTTTGAGGCATTGTCCACTCAAACAGATACTATTGGTAATAGACAACCTTCTTAAGTGTAGGTGCTGTAAATTTTCATACTCAACATTATGCTTATTGGTGAAATAATACAATGTATGTATTTTTTAAATATTTTTATGTTTAGACTCAGAAGCCGAGTGGGAAAGTTTAAACCAAGACTGGCTCACACTTGCTAAGTTCCGTTCAGAAGTCATGAAAAAAAAAGAAGACCTTCTTGCTCTGTAAGTTAAATAGGAATACATAGAAACCTATTCCACTTATGAAAAAAAACCAAGTTGATAATTAGGACCTGGTGATTGAATTAATCCAGATCCTAGGAGTTAGTGTGAGGATTGGATGGAAAATTATTCAATACCATGCATGTTTCTTTTTTTCAAATTCACCTGTATGACTTCAGTGTGATTCTGTAAGTTTGATTGTTGTAGGTTTTTTTTTTTTTTTTTAATTTTTATTTTCCAATTCCTTTTACTAAACACAGAGTGGAACAATCTCATGGCAAAGTAAAGCAAACCAATGCAATCTTGGGTTACTTTCGGCACTCAATTGAAATTTTTTTCTAATGCCACTAAATGTAATTTTTGTATTATTTCCATACATTGTGACCAACGTAGTGATTTCAATAATCTATTCGGTGTTTTAGTGTGATGACCGAATAGAACATTAAAGAGTATTTTTATTTAAAATCAGCAGTAGAAATACTCACATGATGTTTTCATTTTTTCTTTTCAGGCTGAGATGAATTTCTACAAAAATTTTGTTAACACCTGTTGTGACTTTTGTCATTTAAAAGAAAGTCAGTGAGCGTAATATTTAGACGAACTTTCGTCATTCAGAAATAGAGATATATTAGATGACATATTTGATCTCTTGGTTGTAAATAAATATTTTTTAAACAACATGATATGCGCCGTTGTGTAGAGTTAAATGAATAATCTTTCCCACCTTTTTTATACTGTTTTATAGAACTCGTATTTTATAAAACTCAAAGATTTCTTCTGCTCGAAACTGTTCTGTAATTTAGCATGAATGCGTAACTTTACAACAAAAGAATTTTTTCTTAATTTGCACGACGGCGAGATAGAAATCAGCACTCATGCAAATTAGTTTCATGAACGCCTGCGTTACCTTACTGTTTTCGGATGATATTAATATCAGCGCTGATGTTGGACTAAGACAGAGAGACTGGGACGCAGTCAGAATGACGTCATTCTATGCTCAGAGCATATCCACATCAAAATGTTTGTCTTGATGGACAGTTAGATCTCTGATTCGATGCTGTGAATTAATTAGCATTAAAATCGCAATACCATGGCGTCAGAAAATAAAAATAATTAATATACTCATTAATAAACTTTCCTGATCTTAAGCACACGATGACTCTTTCACACAATTACTAGTCAGCGACTGAACGTGAAAATGCGCAGTAGACCAGAAGCGAAGCAAGATAGCTTGTTGAATGCGCTTTCTCCACGGGTGCGAGGTAACAATCAGGAATCAGGGACAGACGTTTCTAGTCGCGGACGGTGATCAGAAGGAAAGTGCATTTGCTTCTAGTACACTTTGTCGTAGCTCAATCTATCGGAAGTTTGTATCTTACATCAAACGCAACGGGCGAAAGACCTGTGGGAAGCGTCATGGCCCTAACGTAACCTTCAGCTGTGCCCAAGGTCTTGTTATTTAAATTTATTACGCGTGGCTATTCCAGTAAATGGCGTGAGAGATCAGGTTGTGTTCTTGGGAGAAGGGGGGGAGGTACCTCTATAAACCAAGGAGTATTCGTAGAGAGAGGTACTGACAAATCACAACATGCACAATTTTCTGTTCACCTTCGTCTGATAATTTTTTAATAATACTCTCGTGGTTGCCTCGAAAATCGCGTTCAGTGAAAGACCCTTCTGGTCAACATGCTTATTTGCCGTCAAACCGAAATAGCTTAAAATCTACGCACTATACGACGGCACATAGCTGTAGGGAATATATGGGGAAATACCTCCTCCCCACCCCATGGATATGGGCGGCACCTGCTTCAAATTTTTCATCAATGAAATAGTTCCAGTTGTGAAGCAGGCGCCATGTTTCGTTTGCTAAAGTCGAGCACTTCAAACATTTCAAAAACAAATAGCAACACATCATAGTGAAAATAGAATCTGTCTATTTACTTTTAAGTTGAAAACGAAACGCAGAGCAATCCTAAACGTGGACTGCCACAGGTATCCCACGTAACAAACGCTGACCGGTACTAACGATATAGGTTAGGTTTAGTTTTATGACATAGATATCTTGATGAAACACCAGAACTTCCATAATCAGAAGGGATATCTTAATTGCGTATCGTGTTTATTCAATGTCACGTCCTTTCATGGGTCTGACAAATTCAGGATGGAATACTTACCTCCGGGTGAATAATAACATTCAATTTCGACTTTAGTTTTAAACGTAAATGCGCCGGTGGGCCTTTTCAGTTATGAATTGCGAACACGTTGTTATTAGAAACTGAAGATGTTATTAGAAACTGAAGATATTCTTAGAAACTGGCTGAGAAAAATACAAGCACGCAAAATTGACCATTTGACATCTGTCTCAGCTTGCATTACGATTTGACCTCGGGTGATGACAAATTAATTTTAGAAAAAGCTGATTTAGGCAAGCATTTAATTTTTTACGGATCGTCTGTCTGGTAGCATCTTCAATGTGGAATTCAGGATGTCGATGTGGACAACTTTAGCCCTGATTACTCTTCTCAACAGTTTCTTATCGTCAGGTGAGGATTTAGCAGGGTCAATGAACACTATGAATCGAATACCTTTCCAATGGAATGTTGTTTATAACATACGAAATAATCCCTTACTCTTGCAACTGATTCTTCGAGAACTAAATTTCATTACCCTTCCTTAGGATTCAGAGAACAGATGGAATGTATTAGATCAAGAAGTGTTTCGATTGCAGTTCTAAAACAAACTTGATAGAAGATTTTTCATTGCCCCGTGACAAATTGTATAACATCAAAAGTTCTCTCAGATACCTCTGCAGCTCTCTCATTCTTTTCTGTGCAAAAGAGTTCAAGTCATACTCGAGAAGGGAATTTCCTATTCTCTGATAGACTATAACGGAAAGAGGAACCTAGATCTGAAGGCTTGGCGCAGGCATTGTTCTTGTTAACTTTTATACAACGGAATCTGAACAACGCTGGCTTCTGGTCAAGTCCAAACACATCCATGGATTTTCCTATTACGCCTTGTGTAAAAGTGTGGATCAAGTATCCATCCACATGACGCAATCAGCTTTATCTCTCAAATAACCCTCCAAATCATTTCACACTAGTTTTGAAAGGAGGGAGAAGAGGTGGAGGGGATAAGAGGAGGCGGGTTATCTTTTGAGTCAATTCATTGTGCGCGTGTGTCTAGATTAATTTTGCTGTGTTTGTTCATTTGTTCTCAGTCTTAGTGCATAATCGCTCGATAGCGTCGTTGTCAATCACGTTTTTCCCGTGCAACGGGAAGTCTACTCTGAGTTCTTATTGTGATATTTTCCTTTAGTTTGATGGATGGTTGTGACTAAACGGACTATTCGGTTTGTTGCAGCATCTGTTGCGGCTCCTGCTATAGATGTTTACATTAGCAGTGAAGGTTGTGACGATCGGCCAAAGACACCGAACACATGTGGAATTGCTTACATCAAGGTGAACGGTGAGGATTATTCTCGTCACGGCAGAGGACATAATGTTGTTGTTGTGGACGGAGCAACAGGTGTGTGAACCACGGTTAATATTTTACTTCAAAATTATTATTTATTATAAGGGATAGCTCGATAAAGGTGACTAGCAAAGAGCTCCTCTTGGCTCAGGCATGATCTAAGTGGCCCTTTGGAGTTTCTCAGGAAGTTTTATTAATTCTTAGAAGAATTATGCGTCAAAGAGTGAATATTGTCGAATAATCCACGAGAAGATGACTAGGTCATTATTCGACCTAAAGAGACCACGAGGGTTTTTCTCATGTGCTCAAATTCATTGAGCCCTAGACGAACAATGTTCCAATGTAATTTAAGAAATGAATATTATAAAAGATTCGATTCGTGTACAATTGCCGGTTCTCAAACTAGGCATATGTTTTTTTTTGTATTTTTCTTATCACTCAGGTGTCATTCTTGATTCAAAAGTGTTCGACACGTACGGGATTATATCTGCCGGCAGAAACCTCAGGGACTACCTCAACAACATTAAAGGAAAGTATGTAATTTTATTTCAGGGCCAAGTTGATCGAAGACCGATTAGCATTAACCCAAGGTTAAATTGTAATCTGGGTTTCTTCATTCTTTTTTTCAAAACTCCTTTTGGATTAATTTTCTGTGTCCTTTTTAGGGCATCAAATAGTCATATTCTAGACAAAAAGAAATTCGACTGAATTTTTTTTAAAGCACTCAGATCGGAAATCATATTTCACACTAACCCTGGGTTATCTTACGCCAAATTTTTCTCCTTTTTTTCCCCAATACATTCCTCTTAGGTTAAAGAATCCTAAATGAGCAAATTAACGATATATTGTGCAGAATCAAATGCTATTTTTTGCTGCATCGTGTTTTAAAGTAAAAGCCGAGAAATCTTCAGTCGTTCGCCAAATTCAACAAAGGAAACCTTAAAACCGATTCAATCGCGTGTGAATGTGTATAATCCATAAAGTTCACCTCCACAAGCGTGTGTGTTTATATTTTCCGTCAGTAAAACCTTAGCTTCAGAAGGTGCGTGCGTGTAGCATAAAAACACTTCGTTCTCATGGTATTAAAGAGTCTGCAAATTTGGTTTTCTTTACTTAATCGCTCCTACATTTAAAAAGCGATTTGATTTTCAGATACTTTATTTACAATCGTAAATGCACTCACCATACTCGCTTTCTTGATTAAGGGGGCCGCGACGCACGGGCTCTTGATCCTACTCTGATTCTAGCGCTCTATTTTAGGTTACGTTCGTCCTGGCGGTTCAAATTGCCAGGGCCTGATTTCACCAACAGATTCATAAACCCTTTCACTATGTTCACCCTCCATCGACGCCTCAAACTCCGAATAATCAGACCCCGAAATAGAACTGCTTTCTCTCGTAGTACCATCCGCCATATGTACACACGTGTGACGTGTAAGGTCACATGATCAAAATCGAAGCGTTTGCGGCATGACGACTCACGAAGCTGCATTTAGGACAGTTTTCCCGGCGAAAAAAGGCACAAAGAGGCATACGAAACACCTTGTATCTGTTTCAATGTGTTACCCGAGGTATTTAGACGGTATTCCGAAAAAGTGACCTGTTAGCCGGCAGTTACCCTTTAATCATTTTAGCCTGAGCCAATCATACCTTTGAAATGATGCCTCACCATTTAACCCTTAAACTCCCAAGATCTGAATATTAATTCTCACCTCTAGTTGCTACACATTTGCTTGTAAATAAGTTACGAGAAGTTGGTGCTAAATCAAGATAAAAACTTCTACCTGGTACATTTGAGTATTCTCATTACCTGTTTGCTGGATAGTGTATGGATATTGTAAGGAGAAGATACTTGTTAATCACCTCTTGGATTTAAAGGGTTAACAAAGATATTGCATGTTGCTATGCGTCTGTTCGGTAATACAACACAGATGACGTCAAAACCAAGTGCTGACCTTTTTGTCCTACATTTCTGACCTTAAACTACTCTTTTTTTGTCATTGTTTTGCTCTTTTTTAGCAAAATCGTTTTGGTCGGTGTTCAAGACGAAGGTTCGAGATATGCTTCATCAGCGGTTAGTGCTCTTAAAAGACTGGGGGCTAGTGATCCTGTTCTTGGAAGCTTTCGGTCTTCTTTTGCATTTGCTGGTTACGCGGGCACAGGACAACCAGCCTGGATGACACAACAAAAGATACAGCAGTGGAAAGCGAGATATCATGGGCCCAGTCAAATAACTCTGAAAATTCCCCCCTCATCAAGTATGTCAAGTCAGTATAGTCTGTTGCACTTATGACGTAGATACCTTTAACCAACAGGTAAATCTCTAAGATCTCTTCGTCCTTCTTTGTTACTACAAGCTACCGATGTACATGAATCGGTGAATAGAGCTTGATCTTTGGGTTTCTAACTTGATCGGCCGGTATTCCGAAAAAGGTGTGCTTGTTAGTTAAATTCAGCTCTCTTACTAAATCTGAGTGAACATTGATTGAGAGTGAAGCGAAAAAGTGAGAGAGGACGAGTTTCATGGGCTGCAAGAATGGACATGACTACATGCAGTGCGGAAACTTATGGAAATTTTTTCGTGCCCTCGAGCTCAATGAAAATAACCCCAAGTAACTTTTCTTACTCGCAGGAGACTATAAATGTCAAAACCAAACTTTACAGGGACAAAAAGGCGTCATTTACTCACCCAACTATCCAGAAATGTACCCAGATGGGCAATACTGCATGTGGAGGATCATGGTGAAAGTATCTTTTCAAGTGGCCTTAATGTTTAAACGCTTCAGTCTACAATCTGAGAACAACACAGACGCTGTTTATGTGTACGATGGCAATGACCAGACAGGGAAGGTATTAGGAGTGTTCTATGGGAGTCAGCCCCCCCCCAGGAATGGAATTTATTCTTCGTCAAACAGTCTCCTCGTAATATTCAGATCAGATAAGAATGGTTCTTTCTATGGGTTCCAAGCCTCTTATAGCGCTGTTCAGTGTTCTGGTAAGAGTGTGTTGACTGAAAGTATTACAAAATTACTTAGCACAATTTCAGAGTTTGAGATGCATCTTAAGAAGATCCCCTAAGAAAAAATTTTGATACAATCGAACATTTTACAGATAAATAATGCTTGAACTCTTCTGTTTGTTTAATTGGCAGGAGCCCTTGGAATGGAGAGTGGCGCGATTTCTGATGCCCAGATAACTGCTTCTTCGCGAATGAACAACAACAGCACACCAAGACAGGCGAGACTGAACTTCATTGAACAGGGAATCAAGCAAGGGGGGTGGTCGTCTCATAAAAATGATCGTAACCAATGGCTTCAGGTGGATCTTGGCAGTCACACCACTGTGACAGGTGTGGCGACTCAGGGAAGGAACTCAACAAAATGGCGGCAGTGGATTGCAACTTTCACGTTACAGTTTAGTTTTGACGGAGTGATCTTCCAGTCATACAAAGAGCCAGGGAAAATGTCAGCAAAAGTAAAGTGTCTTTGAATTATCATTCTATGAATTCATTCTCTGAATGGGTTTTCCTTACAAATCTCTTCTTAAGAGGTCCCGAAAAAGAAAAGACTCCCCTGAAACTTACCTACATGTACCATAACTTTATAGTGTAACATTGTCTGGCTTTTTTAGCATTGCATCGATCAATTAACACAGCTAAAAATGTTGTGATCAACAGCATTGTGTCTGGGTTTGACTTGGCTAACTTTAACATAATCCAAAGATCGAAAGGAAAATTCGTTTTGGTAGATAAACTCAATTTTTTTGTTTGACAAAATGTTGGCATCATTACGAATCAGTGAAGTTTCGTCATAATCTGATAAACCTTTAAAATTACGATGTATGCATAGGACCAAATGACACTCATTTAAGTTTATCAGTCTTTCCAAATTTTGTGTATATATGAACTGTCCTGCGAAAGCGAGGTATCTACTTGAGCTCAGCTGATTTTGGTTTTAACTATCAGGTACTTCACGCCAATCAAGACAGTGATACAGTTGTGTATAACAAGTTGATCTCACCAATCACAGCTCGTTATATCAGACTTTTGCCAGTCACGTGGTACAACCATATATCACTCAGAATGGAGCTTTATGGGTGTGGAGGTATTTCATGACATGATGGTATCTTAGTTAGAAAAAAATCACTTTTGGTGTCATAAAAGAAACACAACTGTTTAGTTTTTCTAGGGACGCCAAGATGGGCGTAAAACAACTTTGAACCTAGAAGGCAAAATTTAATATGCAAACAAAACATAGTGCGATTAGAACTGACAAAAGAGGCAGGAAAAGAGCCAAAAAACCAATGCATCAAGAGAAAATAGTGTACAAAACTGGTTAAGGAAAGAAAACCTCCTAAAAAAATTAAAATGTTCGAAATCATGTTAACACGCCTTTCATGTTTCTTCTAAATTATTTTCCTGTCAAGGAGCGGAGATAATCTTAGTATCTTATTTCACTTTTGAACTCTTGCTTAAAATCTATATTTTGTAAAAAACATATGCAGGTGTTTGAAGTAAGGGTTTAGAGTACTGATTCTTCATAATTTTCAGAGCTTAGCCTATGATCTTTGATCATGCAAGATTTGCTTCTAAAACTTGTACCCGACTTATCTTCATCCTGATAGATTAGAGGGAAAGATTCTCGTTTTGAAAGGGATGTTATAGCACCTTTCTTGAGTTTCCTTTCTGATTAAACTCATTCAGGTTGTTCCTCACCACTTGGCATGGAGAGTCAGGTTATCTCCGATGCCCAAATAACCGCCTCCACCGAATGGAATAATTACAATTCTGCAAAATTTGCACGGTTAAACTTGGGCGGCTGGGTTGCCAGAGCAGTTGATTCTAGACAGTGGCTTCAGGTGGATCTTGGAACTTACTCAAGCATAACGAGTGTTGCAACTCAAGGAGTGAATCTACAAGGCTGGCGAAAATGCTGGACAGCCAGTTACAATCTGC